GTTTGTCTTCAGCGATTATGTCGGGATAATTTTGCGACTGTTATGAATCGGGCGACGCCTGTGAAAGGGCCGTTCAACCCCCAAAAGGGTCGCGACGCACAGGTTGAGAACTGCTGGTTTAGATAGAAAGGAGACAGAGTGGTGAGTTGTCAGATGGTCTGATGCAACGCGGACATCTTGAACTTTGCAGTTGAGGATGCATCAGGCTGGCTGACTATTCACCCATCTGTTTCTTCTCCACTTTATTCAGCTGCTTCTGGTCAGGATTCAGTCCGCTTTTCTACCCTTTCCTCTGAAACCCAGGGTTCCAGGGTTATCACCTATATCATTGGTCTCTAGGATCTTTGTTGCAGCTGGTCTAGGGTAGCATGTTTGACTAGTCTCTGTCTCCATCTTTCCGACAATTAGGCACCCGGGACTTTCCAGCCTGGCTACCCCCCACCGGCTGGCGATTGAGACCACCCTGAGTGAGGTGAGGGCTTTCTTGCCGCACCCTGAGTAAGGTGCTATGCCAGTGACTCAGGGAGGGTGCTCTCCTACGTGGCCTCTCCCTTGGGACTTCCTGGATTGCCCTGTGACTCTAGATCCGCTGGTTGCTGGAGGATGAGATGGTGGCAGCGCTCCGCCGAGGCATCCCCCAGAGCCCTGCCCTGCACCGTGCAGCTGCGCACATCCACAGCTCTCCTGGACGCTCCACTTGCTTTCGCCAAACTTTGCCACTGAGTTTTGTGTTTGGGCCAGAACGTTCTCTCACACAGTTCAAAGAGGTAAGCTGACCACCTCGGATTCATCCTTCCCTGGACTTCCAGCACAGGCCTGGAAGGCTCTCACCTTAAAGAGTCCTCTTCACTGTGTTCTCTGCTCCCCATCCCATGCCTGCCAGCCCACCTCTGGTGGCATGAGACCCAGCTTCTAACCTCGTCACTGGGCCTGCGTAGTCTTAGGTTCATCACTCAACCTTTCCTTAGCACCTTACCTAAGCACTGTGAGTGGTAGCATCTGCTTCACCAGGTTGTTGTGATGGGTTAATAAAACACTTAATGAGGATGCACCATGGGTTTAACGAGAACTGCACCTGCCTAAATGATCATCTTGACTCCTGCTCCCCAGGAGTTCCGCCGCATCCACCTTCCTGGCCATGTCCTTCTTGAGGACTCTGACAGTGGCTTCTTCTTTGTGGCAGTTGGCCAACCACCGGGGGGGTCTCTTGGGGAGCCCCCTCCAGCAGCCTGGGCTTGGCACAGCCATGAGGTTAGGGCTGAGGGCATTGAACACGAGGTAAGTCTTTCGGAGCTGACCTGGGAAAGGGGGAAGGTGGTTGTGGGTATTCTGGGGCCTCTACCCACCTCAGTTCTGGCTTCTGCCCCTCAGGCTCTGACAGCCAGCCCACAGGCCCCTGGTTCCCCAGAGGATTCTGAGGGCCACCCCCTCGGTGGTCTTCCCAGTCCGCCACAGGGAGGTAAGAAGGAACTTGAACAGTGAGGTCTGGGGGGGTCAGGACTAGGGATGCATGGAGTCCGTGGATTATTGAGAGATGTTCCAGGTAGACCCCTTCTCTCCCCAGGGAGCCAGCCTGGGCCCCACCGGGGACTGAGCCTCATGTCCAGTCAGGGCAGCGTGGACTCTGACCACCTAGGTGAGCTGGGGAAGGTCTGGGCAGAGGGTAGAGTAGACTGACCTGGAGGAGGGACCATGCAGGCCTGAGGACTTGAGGAGTCATATGAATGTTGAAGAGTCAGTCTCGACAAAAGGACAGTGCTGAGCATTAGCCCCTTTGACACAGGTTATGATGGTGGCAGCAGCGGCTCAGACAGTGAGGAGCCCTCGGAGACCCTCGGCGAGAAGGCCCCCTTCATGTTGCGGACTCCACCTGGACTGGTACCTCCAGAGCCTCCACTCTCAGGCCTCCCTGGGCCCTGCCTGCCTGACTTTTGGCTCATCGTCCGTGTGCTGCAGGATCGGGTGGAAGTCTATGCACACGCACGGTGGGTAGGATCAGGCCTGCTGTTTCTCTCTCCCTGCCCTCCATGGTGGTGGGACACTGAGCTTGCTTTGCACAGGGCTCTAACCTGTGGGCAGCCCAGTCCTGGTGTGCTGTGTAGAGAAAGCACGTGGATCTCTGCTTTCTGAGTGGAGTTAAGGTACCTGCATCAAAGCTGGCCCACTGCCATCAAGGTGACCCTGTAAAAGTCTGCAGGAGCAGAACTGCTGCTTAGGGTGTCCGAGACTGTGGTACTTAGGAAGCAGGTCACCTTGTCTTCTTCCCATGGAGTGGCTGGTGGGTGTGAGCTGCTGCACCTGTGGTTAGCAGGCCGGTGCGTATCCCCCAGCGCCACCAGGGCTCCTCGCTGTACAGTCCAGAGCAGCTTCAGAATTACTCTATGAATACAGAGTCAGCGTAGCACTTAACAAGTACTTACTGCACGGCAGGCTCTTATGTAAAGTGTTTGACAAGGATTGGTTCATTTAATCCCTCTAACAACCCTATGGCTTATTACTATCCTCATAACGTGGATGAAGAGACTGAAGCTCGGGTGAGTTAAATACTCGCTCAGGGTCACTCTTCCTAAGTGGCAGAACCAGCCTTCACACCTCGGCATCTGGCTAAACACTGCTTCTCTAATCACCGTGGCCCTCCGTTCTTACCAGGAGCTGGGAATGGAGACGAGGCAGGCGGCCTCATTGTGGTACCTGGGTGGGAGCTGGGGAGGCAGGCAGCCAAGACAGGCTTTCCGGATCACTCTTGAGGGTCCTGCTCTTGTCATTTCCCTTCAGGTGCACTTCCCTTTGTCCATTCCTACTTCCATTCCTGATGTCTTGCTTCTGTGACCCCGCCTCATGACACCCCCCCTCCCCTTGCACTGTCCATCCTCCTTTCCCTAGGAGCATGATCCGGGAGGAAGGAGGACCAGGCACTGAGTGTCGCCACCTGCAGCAGCTCCTGGTGAGGAGAGTTGGGGAGATCTGCAGGGAAGTCAACCAGGTAAGGGGCCACCAGGGACTGGGACGTGGTGACTCTGCCCACATGTGGAAGGGAATTTCGAGAACGTGACCTTCAGCGGCCACGGGTCCTTCTCAGACCCAACAGCAACCATGGCATGTTTGCTTTGACCTCCAGCTACTTCCCTGCAAACGGGGCCATTCTCCACAGCCCCTCTCTGTAACTACAGCTGTCTGTTTTGTGCCAGGCACTGGGCTAACCTTGAGGATAGAAACGTGTGCAGGGCAGAGGGAAGCTGACTCTGGAGCTTTCATAGAGAAAGAGACTCAACCAAATGACACATAGCCTTCAACTGCACTTGTGAAAAACTCTACCAGGGAGTGTAGAGACCGTTGGGGCAGCACATTACAGGGATCTGACCAAAGGAACTATCAGGGAAGCCTGCTTAGATTTAAAAACCCCTTAGAAGAAGGGGTTTTTAAATCGAGACAGGAAGATGGTGAACCAGTTCCGGCCAGGGGGAGGGACAAGGGTTCCTAACTTGGGTTCTCTCTCAGAGCCCAGAGTTCTGGGCCACCGTCCCTGACGTCCCAGTGGTTGCTGACACTCTTATGACCGCTAGCCCCCAGTGATAACAGACGGGTTTTCTCTTTGGCCTCTGCCCACTCTTGTCCACCTCCAGCTTCTGAGGGGACATTACAGTTCCTGATACCTTGCTCCCCCTTCCCCCAGCGACTGCTTCTTCAGGACCTTCATGACAGTCATGTGTGTAACTCTCTTCTGGTGGCTGAGAGTGAAGAAGATTTGTGGCGCAGCGAGACCCCCTTCCATTCCCGCCAGCGGGTGCCACTACCCAGCGATGGTGAGGCCCCGCCTTTTCTCTCACCCAGTACTTTTTCGAGAAGCAGGGGGCAAAGTCATCATCACTCGGTCACCCCTGACAAGTAGGAACAGTGGGGGGCGGGGGGTGGGGTAGTTACAAGTTCCTTGGTGACTTTTGGAAACAGAATGCAGATGAAACTGAGAAGTGAAGAGATGATGGATAGTTGGATCAGAGAATAACTATTCTCTCAAGTAGCTTGGCAGCAAAGAGAGGGGAAAAAATAGATATGACTGTAACTAGTGGGAGATGTGGGGGCGGGGAAGGAATTTTAAGATCCGTAGAGATTTGAGCGTGTTTATGTTCCGCAGGGAAAGCGCCATGAAAGGGAGAGGGTGAAGACCACGAGAGCCGAGGTCAGGGCTGGGAGGCACTTGGGTACAGTGGGAAGGCTTGCCCTCTGGTGGGCTGTCCCACCAGACAGGCCCAGGAGTCCCTGGGGAGTTCTGTCCTGGGAAGGAAACGGGATCCTGGAGGTTGACGCCACAGCCCTGAAACTGCCCTTCTCTTGCGCTTGCTGCGCTCTTCGGACAAAAAAGCCACGCCTGTCGTTGCTATGAAGTGTCCTGTCTGGTTTACAATGAAAATCAGACCACTCCTTATGTTCAACACACTCAGCAAGTCAGTAGAAGAACATTTTTAACATTTCCAAGAAAGCGGCTCTCAGCCGTCCTGGAATGTTCTCCATATCGGTGCAGAATCCCTGTACTCAGTGGACTGACCTCCCACGGCTCCGGAGGCAGCTTCTGCAAAGTGAAGACAAGCTGGGAGAGTCGAGCACTTTGACTTCAGAGTGCCTCCCAGCAGCCTGGGACATGGGGCCGTCAGAACACAGCCCGTCCTCGTTTGAGTGGCTCCACATGGTTTCCCTTAGCAACCAGCATCCCATCGCAGAGCAGAATCCTTGCTGCCGCCTGGGTGCCCTGTGGGCTGCTCACACAGGTGTGACAGCAGCTTCTCTGGGACCAGATTCCCACCTATGACCTCCTGGAAGGTTCTTTGTCTCCCTGGAAGCCTGGGAAAGTTAGAACAAGGCGCTGGCCTATGGCCTTGGGCTTTGTGTCCCACCACAGTTCCTGGGTTCTTCGGGAGAGCTGTGCTCTGGGGCTGAGAGCTGAGAAGTCCCCTCCTAATAGGTAACACAGGTGGCCCAGTGTCAGAGCCATGGGTTCCCGTGCAATGAGAATCATGGTGTTGCCTTTGGGAGGATTTTGCACGCCGCACGCACCCCGTGACTCCTCTCTTTTGCCCCCTTCTCCACGTGCCCTCCTTGAAATAGTCCCCCACACCTTTGTGCAGTGCCTCTGTCTATGGCCAGACCTCCAAGTCCAGGCCCTGCCCTCTTCACCAGCCATAATCTCAGCCTGCCTGCAGAGGGTTGCACGGGTGAGGAGGCAGGGTGGGCGAGAGGGCCCAGGTGAGGCAGGCGTCGGGAAGGCCAGGCTGGGTGTCCTCTTGTGATCCCCATGCTCGCTCCACTCCCCCAGATTATGCCGCCGACGAGAGCTGTGCACCCCGAGGCTACCTTGCAGCCACGATGCAGTTTGTCCCTGGGCATTTCTCCTGTGACGTCGTGTGGGGCACTGTGATCCGAGTCCATTCACGCCTCAAGATGGGGCCCAGCATGGGAGTGTCTCGGGGTAAGTGGCGGCAGGAGGAGAAGGCAGGCAGGTGGGAAAGGGGGGTTCAGGAGGCGGGATTCCCTAGCCCCTGGTGCTGCTGCAGCCATCCAGGCGCTGCGCTCGGTGCTCAACGCCTTCTCCGTGGTCAACCGGAAGAACATGTTCGTCTATCAGGAGCGAGCAACGCAGGCTGTTTACTACCTCCGGTAGGTGGGTCCTGGGAGGGTGGAGAGCAGCGCCAGTCCCGGAAGACCTGTGGGGAAGTGGGTTCAAAGCCCTTGTGCTCTCCCCCAGGCTGCTGGAGACGTCCTGCAGTGACCGGCCGTGGGAAGGGGATGTCGGGACCCGCTCTCTCGCTCTGTCCCGGAGCCAGGAGCCCATCTGCCCTGAGGAGGCCTCGGCATGTATTGCCCCTCTCCTTTGCCCCCTTTTCCATGTGTCCTCCTTGAGATACTCTGGGTTGCTTTGGGTTGGCATTGACTCGTTGGCCCCGGTGTCCCTCCGGCCCAGCTCCCTGGAGGTGGACCCTGACGGTGTTTTCCACGTAGGGCCCTCGTTCTCCCCTGGACATGGCTTCCAGTCGCAGTTCAGATACTGCTCGTCCTGTGGGCCAAGTGGACAGACACATCCAGCTGCTGGTCCACGGTGTGGGGCAGGCAGGTGAGGACAGCAGGCAGGAGGGGCCAGCCCGGAGGTGGCTGGGAATCTGGGGCAGCTGCTCAGGGAGCCTTCTCACTGTTCGGCCTGGGCCTTCTGCAGCCTGAGGTCTGAGTGGGAAAGGACGGGCTCCATGAGGTTTAGGAGCTGGACGGGCAGCCAAATGAAAGGGGCTGTTTAGACCAGCGCCTGGGCATCTAGCTTGGGTGGCTGGAACCAGAAGTAGGCTAGCTTCAGTTTGGGATATGTTAGCCATGAAGTAGCCAGGAAGCAGATTCATTTTTCAGCTACTATGTATGGCTTACTTGTGTAGGAGGGGCCCTGGTGATGTAATGGTTATTACAGACTGCTAAACCACAGGTTGGCAGTTCGAAATCACCAGCCACTCTGAGAGAGAGAGAGAGACAGACAGACAGACAGACAAGGTTTTCTACACCTGCAAAGAATTAGAATCTCGGAAATCCACAGGGGCCATTCTACCCTGTTCTATAGGGTGGGCATTGACTCATTGGCAGTGAGTTGTTTGTTTGGGTGTTGTTGTTTTCTTATGTAAATTGGGCCAAGACCATGATGTAACTTCTCTTTTAATCCTCATCACAAACCCATGCAGTGCTGCTCTTGTGGTTCCCATCTTGTGGGCGAAGGCACGGAGGCTTTGAGAGCAGAGTCAGTTGGCAGGACTAACACTCCAGGGGTCTCTTCCATGTGCTGGGAGGTGCCGAGACGGGGTTGAAGAGCTGGTTCAGGCGGCAGCTAGATTCTTGCCCCCGTGGCTGTGTCCAGGTCCCGAGATCACAGACGAGCTAGTTCGGGTTCTGCGTCGACGCCTGGACGAGGCCACGCTAGATGTCATCACAGTTATGCTTGTTCGGAACTGCAAGCTGACCCCGGCTGATGTGGAAGTAAGCTCCCTCCCAGAACCCCCTGAGGTTCAGCCACTGGTGTGAGGGGCACTCGAAGCTGGAACCTCAGCAGTTAGCTCTGACCCCTCTTCCCGTTCGTCACAGTTCATCCAGCCTCCTGGGAGCCTCCCCTCCCAGGTGCTGCAGCTGGCCCTGCCCGCCTCCTGCCAGCCCTGGCTTCCTGCCCTGGCCTGGTACCTGCGGCAGAGCCTACTCATCTTCCTGCACTCGCCCAAGTACACAGACAGCAACAGCCAGCACCACTTCCAGGTGAGTCCTGACTCGTCTCTCCACACCCTTGTGCACCACGGTCCCCCTCAGACACTTACACAGACCTCTGGTCCTGTCTCACTTCCTACGCATGCCCCCATCTGTGCCTTTGCCTCAGAACTCCCTTACCCCTGCATCTTCACATGCTGCTCCAATGCCTGCCCATGAAGGCGTCCCCTCCCTTGATCTGCTGTGTCGAGATGCGTTTGCCTGGTCTTAGTGCTGCGTGGCGGTTCTCTCCCCAGCATCCATTCCCGCCCCAGGGCGGCCTTCCCGACTTGGACATCTACGTGTATAATAAGCCTGGTGGACAAGGCACTGGGGGCAAAGGTACAGAGTGGGGCCGAGCTGGGGGCACTGCCTGTGACTGAGAGGCCTCTCCGGTGCTGCAGCCGTTTGCTGAGCCTCTCTCCGGATCTTTTCCACCCAGGAGTCGCCTGCATCACTCTAGCCTTTGTGGATGTGGCCGGGAACCCCATATCCCTGGCATCGTGTCCCCCCACTTCTCCTGGGCCCTCAGACTCACTGCAAGAGGAAGAATTTGAGCAGCTGACCCAGGTCACACGCTGCACCGTCCTGCAGGACAGCTCTGCAGGTGGGCCGCTGGTCAAGCCTGAGCCTGCGGTGGCCAGTTCATGCTGGGAGAGGTCAATGGGCTCTAGAGGCACCCTCCAGTGACCCACCATCCCTTCCTGCAGCCCAGAGTGGGCCCCCGCGGCTGCGGTTGGATGTTTGGGAGAAGGGGAACATCAGTACCCTGCAGCTGGAGGAAAAGCTCCGCACAGCGGCACGCCAGGCCCTGGCGGATGCGGTCATGGAGCTGCAGCTGCTGCCTGCCTCCCTCTGTACGGAGGACAGCTCCCCAGGTATGCAGGCCGCCCTTATGCTCGGGCACAGGGCGGGGCACAGCTGTGGGGTTGGGGGAAGGTTTCAAGAAGAGGAACCCCTGAGCCAGGCTTAAGGGAGAAGTGGCCATAAACAGGTACAGGCAGGGAAGGGGCCTTCTAGACCGTGTGTGAAGGTAGGGCCAAACCAATATCAAACGACACTCAACTGCGGTCCAGTCGATTCCGACTCATGGCGGCCCTCTAGGACCAGCAGGACTGCCCTGTGGGTTTCTGAGGCTCTGACTCTGTATAGGAGTAGAAAGCCTCCTGCTCCCATGACACATCTGGTAGTTTCAAACTGCTGACTTTGCAGTTAGCAGTCCAGAAAACTCGATGGCAGCTACTTTGGAGTAAGGTGCGGTAGGACCCAGACATTGGAAGCTGGCGAGGTGGAGAGGCCACGTGTCAGGCTAGCGTGGAAGCCCACACGGGGGTCTGAGACATTACCCAAAGAGACGGAGAACCTGTTAAAGGCATTAAGCAGGGTAGTGATATGCTCAGGTGTGTGACTGGAAGACCATCCCAACTCTCTCCTGACTCATTGGCTTCCATCCAGGCATCCCTGCCTGCCCAGAAAAGGCTTCAGCATAAATACCGTGTGCTCTATCACCGGCAGGAATACACATATGCCATTGATGGTCTGATGGGATATGTTTCCAAGAACTCTTATCACACAAACAGACACGCATGCGGCCTCACACTACCAGCTGCATGCTCTCCCACTCACTTGCAGGGGAAGTGGCAGGAACTCACCTACCAGTCTTGGCCTTGGTTTGTCTAGGGTGGGATTGAGGGCAGCCCTGAGTCTAATGTCTGGTGTCCACAGGAAGTCTCAGGAGCGGATCGTTGGAATCTAAGAGCCCTGCAGGCCAAGCTAGCAGCTTCCCCCCAGCCCCTGTGTCTGGGGAGCCTGTGACCCCACCCAGCAAAGCTGGCCGGCGCAGCTTCTGGGATATGCTGGTAATGGGAGAGGTGTGGGGTTGGCATCTGCCTTCAGCCTGCCTCCTAGCTGCACCCTGTTCTCCCTCCCCGGCCCTACCCCTTCAGGCTTTTGCCACAGACCCCCATAAAAGACAACGCTGATCCTGAGAGAGGAGCCTGCTGAATGCGGCAAGTTCTCTCAGATAGAGGCAGCCCCTCAACTTACTGAAAAGGCCATTCATTTCTGTTTTTCCTGTCGGAACCTGCAGGTCAAGTAGCCTGCCCTTGGCTGCTCCAGCAGCCTTTGGGGAAGCTAGGTCCAAGCCCCGGGCCTCTAGCCCTCCAGGCCCTTATCAGTGTTCCACAAAGCCTCCATATGCCACCCCTGCCCTTCCCACTAGCCCCACCTCATGCCCTGCATTGCCTCTAGAGTAAAACAGAAGGTGGGGACATGGGTTCCCCCAAAACAACCGATGACATTGTCCTGGACCGGCCAGAAGACACTCGGGGCCGAAGGCGGCACAAAACGGAGAATGTTCGGACTCCGGGTGGAACTGAGCGGGCCCCAGGCCCAGATTCAGGAACCCAGAGACAAAGGTGTGTGTGTGTGCATGCGTGCTGCCCTGCTGTGTCTGTCATGGAAGTGTGTGGGCGTGGACTCCTGGATGAGTGGTATGGGTTTATATAGACCTCTGTGAGGTTACCTCATTCATGCTGTGTCTGTAGACGCCGGGTAACGCAGCTAGAAGAGGGCGAGGTGGGGATCCTGCATCCTGTGTTTGCTCACGTCTGTCAGCGTTGGATGGAGTTTATGGCCCAGATTGGTGAGGGCCCGGCCCCCTCCCGCCCCCTTGTACCTGGTCCTGCCCTCCACGCCCCAGCCGCCTGGTAACACCTGTCTGCGTTCCAGGTTGCGCCTCAGTGTCCAGAAGCTCCACCCACGTGGTGTCCCGATTCCTCCTCCCGTCCATCCTGTCCGAGTTTACCATCCTGGTCACCTCCATGGCTGGAGACACCAGCGTCCGAGTCTTTGAGCAGCATTTGTGAGTTTGGGATCACTCGGGATTGGAGGGGACCTCCCGACTTGTAACAGCTGGTCCTATAGGAAGCCACACCTCTGTGGGGCTGAGCTGGGAGAGGTGGGCTTGAAACCGGTGAGCAGGGGATAGGACCTGCTCTCTGATGCCCTCCCTCCAGTTCCACCACTAGTGACCCCACAGGACAGAGGTCCCTGGGAGTGCTGAGACCGGAAAGCTTTGTGGAAGCAGGCCCTCCTGTGGTGGGGTCAAACTGCCCACTTTCTGGGTGACAGCCAGTGCTTAGCCCAGCGCACCACCAGGGTTTCTCCCCATCCCCGCAGGGGTTCGGAATCCACGCTCTTCAGTCCTTGTGCCCACGGCCAGCTGGGCCCAGCTCCCCATCCTGCCGCTGAGCGGCGCCTGATGCTTCTGGGGAGGAGCTTTGTGCAGTGGAGGAGACCAACCCAGCAGGGTGAGGGTGTGACCTAGGGGAGGGGGTACGCAGAGCTCCTGTGGGGGGATGATCTCGCAGCTTCAGGGCCCCCTTTATTTCCTGCACCCTGTAGCTGCCAAAGCTGTGCAGCGCTTTGAGCCGGGCAGTGGCGGGAGCCCCGGGCGGAGCGCGCCCCGGCAGAGGCTCCTGCTGCTGGAGGTTGTGGACAAGAAGGTAAGGGTGGGGCCTGGGGCTGGCGGGGAGGAAGGGCTCTGACCACTGACCTGACCCCGACCCCGTGCCCAGCTACAGCTGCTGACATATAACTGGGCTCCAGACCTGGGGGCAGCGCTGGGCCGAGCGCTTGTCCGCCTCGTGCAGTGGCAGACTGCGCGGGCCCACCTCATTTTCTGCCTGCTCAGCCAGAAGCTAGGCCTCTTCCATCATTACGGGCAGCTGGACTTCCCCGTGCAAGATGAAAAGGTACCCGCTGCTCCGCTCCCTCGTGCCTCCAGCTTCCCAGGGCTCAGTCAGAAGAGGTGCCGGCTGGGAAACGGGAGGCAGCCATGGGAAGAGAGGGTCCAAGGACAGAGGCTCTGGGGGGCCTGTTGTGAGGCTCTCGTTTCCCTCAGGAGCCAAACCCTTTTCTACTGCCATCCATGGAAGCCGAGACCCTCATCCGGAGTGCCAGTCCCCCACTGAGCCGAGAGCAGGGCCGGCTGAGTGGGTCCTCCCGTGGTGGGGGCCCCCTCCCCCTGGACACGTTCCCCTTCGATGAGGCCTTGCGGGACATCTTGGCTGCCCGTCCTAGCTCCACGCTCAGCCCTGTGCCCAGACTCCCTGATCCTGTCACCTTCCACGGGCAGCAGTTCCTGGACATCAAGATGACAGAGCGCAGAGGTGGGGCACTGTGGGCTGGCAGGGGGAGTTGGGAGGGGGGGCCTGAGGCATCTGGGAGGGAAAGGTCGGCACCACTTGGGGGGGAGGGGGGCACACACACTACTCCTGTCTCTGACCCAGAGCTGGAGCGACAGATGAAGATGGAGAACCTGTTTGTGACCTGGCAGCAGCGCTCAACCCCAGCCAGCATGCCCATCAGTGTAAGTGGCCCTGAGAAGTCCGCACCCTACAGGAGTCCCTGCTTTGCCCCTTGCTCTAAGCTCACTGCCCTATGCCCCAGGCTGGGGAGCTGGAGACCCTGAAGCAGTCATCACGCCTGGTGCATTACTGTGCAACAGCCCTGCTCTTTGACCCAGCTGCCTGGTTCCATGGGCCCCCAGAGACTTCTGGGCCCCCGGAGGGACAGGTGAGGCCCAAGACTCCTGAATTCTCTCTGGGGCTCTCCTGGGACCTCCACAGAGGTCGGCAGTGGGTAGAGGGGACCTCCATCTCTGCTCCCACAGCGGCGTCCTCGCCCTGAGTCGGGGTCTGGGGGCCGAGAGGCGCCCCCGAGCTGTGAGCCCTCCGACGTACCGCTGCCCGGAGCCCGGGAGGAGCCATGGCTGAAGGAACTGAGCTTGGCTTTCCTGCAGCAGTACGTGCAGTATCTGCAGAGCATTGGCTTCGTGCTCGTGCCGCTACGGCCGCCCTCCCCTGCTCGCAGGTGAGACCGGTCCCCATGCCTATCCACTCATCCAGGTCCCTGTTGCTGGCTTGGGCCTCATTCATCTTGCCACACTAGCACGCCAGGCCCAGGGCTGGCTCTAGTACGCTTTCACGCAGCCCTCGTGTGTCCTGCACACCTGTGGCGCTCACAGCCACATCAGAGAGACCATGCCGTTCTCACTACACTGGTCTGCCTGCACCCATGCTCACAGCTGCGCACAGCCACACACGACTCTCCCGTGCACCTGAGCTGCTGGACCTGGGCCTTTGTGCGCGCCCGATCGCTCCTGACCTTCCCTGAGATCATGCTTGTTCCAAGGAGCAGCCCCTGTCCACCTCTCTGTGCTCCGGCCCGTTGGTCACGTTCCCACACGCAGCTGGCATGTCTCCACAGCTAGCTCTCAGCTGTAGGAACTTCGCCAAGATTTCAGTTGACATATTGTCCATTCAGCTCTGCTCTTCATAAAAGTTTGAATCCCTCTTTGAAGCAGAGGGCATCGGGTTACAGGATGCTTCTAAAGCACGCTGACAGACACAGCGTGAGCCCTCCTGCCTCACTAGTCTTCAGCCGCCCACCCTCTCGTTCATTCTCAACTTCATTGCTCGCCAGGAGTAAATGGGATGTTTCCTCTTGCCGGAGCTCGTATTTCTGGCTCCCCAGTGGACCGAACGGACCCGCCGGCCCTTTCTCTGGTCCTTCTCACAGGGTTCCCCCATCAATCAAAAGGAGCCACTTTGCCCATCATAGGAAGGGGAGCCTCCCAAGAGGAGCCAGCACCGTCTTTGAGCCTTGATTATTAAATCAGCGCGACCTCCACTCTCCCCCTGCCAGTGTGCAGATACCTCTCCCCTTCTGAGGGCCCTCCTGCCCCGTCCCCAACCTCTCACACTCAGCCTGCCTCCGCCTCCACGGTCACTGCCCTCATGTCCTTGGCGGGCAACATCTGCCCACGGTCTGACCTGGGCCAGCCCCAGTCTTGCCACTTACTCACGGTGGGGCAGAAACAATGTCATGCAAAATGAGTTCTGGGTCTTATGGCCATCACCCTCACCCTGCCTCACCTTGCCCCCCTTCCTCTTTTGTAGTAGCAGCCGGCGGGCGATGGCTACCTCAGGAACAGAGGGCCGAGGCTCCTTCTCCTGCCCTAAACCCAAAACTGACGGGAGCCCCAAGGTAATGCATCCTGCCGCCTTCCCCTCCCATCCTTCATGAAATCAACCATGTCCCAAGGCCCCAGGGCCTCTAACCCTGAATACTTGGCCCAGGGCCTGAGGCCAATGATCCTGAGTGGTGCAGGGAGATTTATTTATCCCAAATGGCCTCATTAAATTCATTAAGTCATCATTAAAGCTTACGACTAGCGAGCCCCACCCCTCGGCCCCTGGCCCCAGTGCTTCAGCCCTCTTCCCTTTCTCAGGGCACTGGCCACACAGTCACCGCCTACCACCTGCAGCGCGCACTGCCAGGGGGCATCATCCTCATGGAACTGGCTTTCCAGGTGGGCAGGAGGGGGCATTGAGTGGGGAGAGCCAGGCCTGCCTGTTTCCTACCCACCTGACCACCTCACCCCCTCGCCAGGGCTGTTACTTCTGTGTCAAACAGTTTGCCCTGGAATGTTCCCGAATCCCCATGGGACAGGCTGTCAACTCTCAGGTATGTGGGGGGATGGAAGACAGGAATGTGAGATTGGGCAGAGTGTGGTCCCATGGGGATAAGAGTAATGCAGTCGGTGGTCTGGCTGGTGATCCAAGGAAGTCATTATGGTGCTCGCCAAGCAGTCCTATGGTGGTCTCTAGCATGGGGGCCCATTGGCCCATCTGCCTTGTGGTCATTGGGGGCGGTGACTAGCCTCAGGCTGTGGTTGGCCCATCACCAGAGGTAGCCTGATAGCAAGGAAATTTGAGCTTCGTGGGTGATCTGGCACCTGCATAGGTTGGTACTGTAGACAGAGCTTGGGGAAGCTTGGTATGGCCAGGCTAGTCCCTGACACGCAGACAAGGGCCAGTACCCCCACCCCACTGGATTGCACTTAGTTGTTACCTGTGCCCCCAAGGCCAGGACCTCCACACCCCATGAGGGTCACGTCCTCCAGAGTGCTCAGAATCAGCAATCAGAAGCCCTCTGTACTTGACTTAGTTCCCCGACTCCTGCAGGTGGCCAGAGTTGCCGTGCTAGGTCCCACATCTCCTTTGTGCTGCACGTTGCGTTTCTGAGAGAGCAGGCTCCACCTGTCCTCCCACTGTAGACAATAGCGGCCCCTGTCCACTGCTCCGAGCTCCTCTCCGGCCCGTGGTTGGCCACCTGGTCTAGCCACCATAGGCAGAAGTGCCCCACAGCACTGTAAGTGCAGGAGCCTGCCTAGGCCACAGCGCTCAGAGGGGCTCTCACTCTACTGGAGTATCGCAGGGAAGGTCCACCCGCCATGACTCTTTAGCCCCCAGTCTCCACGCAGCTGAACTCCCTTCCCCTAGTCCCTACTCCCTGGTCTTCTGTTTCTGAATGGTTTTATTACTGTGAGTGTCCATTCAGCAGATGTATCCTCAGCAAAGAGGAAAGTGTCACTCTCACTGTGCGGCATAGAGGTGCGGCCCTTTACCCCAGGGCACACAGCTAGCCAGTGGCACTGGAGTCTGAGTCTCTGTGGTTCTGAGCCTCACGTGGTTTATCTCGCTCGACCGCTCGCCCTCAAACTCTGAAGAGCGTGACCTCCTCTCCATGGTAGAAAAGGAAAGGCAAAGCCCAGGGAGCTGCGCTTTAGCCAAGGGTGCCCAGCTAGTGGCACCTACGCCACAGCTTCCGCTACAGTCCTTCCCGAGGAGAGGCCAGGTTGACTGCCACGCTAGCGGCCCAGAGCCAGATTCCACTAACGACTTCCATCGGAGAAGCAGCAGCTCCACGGCTCTGCCCTCACTCACAGAGGAGGCCACGCCTCAGCAGGGGGCCCCAGGGGAGCTCTCAGAGCCAGCCTGGGAGCAGTGAGTTTCCGTTTCTGGCGGTGGAAAGTTTGGCAACAGTCCCCAGTGATGGCCACACAGCATGGTTAGCACATGGATGTCACTGAATTGTGCCCAGGAAAACGCTGAGTGCATAGATCTTATGTGAGATCTATTTTTATACCAATGAGAAGCCAAAAAAATAAAGTAAATGAGTCCGGGGGCAGCCATGGGATCATTCTAGTCAAAGAAAACAGCAGTACAGAAACATTGACCAGAGACCATGGGATAGACTTGGCGAGGACCAGTTCTCTGATGGGAAGGTTGAGCCCAACATGGGGAGGGACCAGAAGAAACGTTTCCATAGTAACTGATTGCACACACTGACCCCCACCCCTCTTCACCACCCAGTCTAGTGGCCCCTCTGTCCTAGAATGTCAGCCCCTGGAGGGCAGGGCTTTGGCTCTGTTTGCAGTGTGCCCCCTGTACCAGAGCAGAACCAAAGGACTCTGTGCCACTCTCTAGTGGAGCCACATGGAGTGAGACGGGTCCCCTCTGCCTCCGGGTGGTCAGGACAGTGTCAAAAAGGAGGCTTCCCAGAAAACCACTGGGCAGCGGAGGGGCTTTCTCCCTGCCCACGGCCACAGGCTGTCCCTGTACTTCCTCCTCCAGGGGAGGGGTGCCAGGCAGCCTGTGCCCTGACCCAGGCCCTTGTCCCTGCTGCAGTTGTCCATGCTGTTCACAGAGGAGTGTGACAAGGTGCGGGACCTGATGCACGTGCACTCCTTCAGCTACGACTTCCACCTGCGCCTCGTGCACCAGCACGTGCTGGGCGCCCACCTGGCCCTCCGCCACGGCTACCACCTCACCACCTTCTTGCGGCATTTCCTGGCCCACCACCCCGATGGGCCCCACTTTGGCCGCAACCACATTTACCAAGGTCAGTGCCAAGGGCAAGCCAGTGAGCCAGAAAGGGAACATGTCTCCAAGCCGAGCCAGTGGATGCCGCCCCCAGGCAAGACCCCAGTCTCCTGCTCTGTGCTGTTAATGGCACCCTGTCCCCATGTCACTGCGATGAGTTTCGTGTGAAAGCACAGCGCCTCTGCCACAGGCACCCTCCCAGTGTGTCTGTCCTGGGTCCTCTGAGTGAAGAACAGGAGCAGGCTCTCCTCGAGAAAGCAGAGCCGTCGACCTGCCAGTCAGAGCCTTGGCAACTCCCATCCCGTTCTTCTCCACTCCCCACCCACGTCAGCGTGTAACTCAGTAGATTCAGTGTCCCGTCCCTTGCCCCCCAGGGACACTGGAGCTCCCCACACCACTTATTGCTGCCCACCAGCTCTACAACTACGTGGCTGACCACGCCAGTTCCTACCACATGAAGCCACTGCGCATGGCCCGGCCAGGGGGCCCCGAACAGAACGAGTATGCCCTGGTGTCGGCATGGCACAGGTGAGACTGGAGGACACCCGCTCCAGAGAGTAGGGCTGAGCTCTGGGCCAGGAGGAGACCCAAGCTTCTCTGGGAAAGAGGAGGAATTCGTGTTCTTGAAACCTCAGTTGTCATCTCCTTTCCGCACCTCCACCAAACAGCTCTGGCTCCTACCTGGACTCTGAGGGACTTCGCCACCCAGATGATTTTGACGTGTCTCTGCTTGTCTGCCACTGCGCAGCGCCCTTTGAAGAGCAAGGAGAGGCCGAGCGACATGTTCTGCGGTCAGCAGATCCCTACCTTAACATGCCCATCACCCAGCTGCTCCCTGCACCCGTCCCCCCGTGACCCCCACTGCTGCCCACTTCCCCACAGGCTGCAGTTCTTTGTGGTGCTCACCAGCCAGCGGGAGCTGTTCCCCAGACTCACTGCTGACATGCGCCGCTTCCGGAAGCCGCCCAGGCTGGCCCCCGAGCCAGAGGTCCCTGGGGGCTCTGCTGGTAGCCCCGGGGAGGCCTCGGGGGCTGGTCTGGCCCCTGGACCCACTCCCCTGTTCCCACCACTGGCGGCCGAGGTGGGCGTTGCACGGGCACGGCTGGCTCAGCTGGTGCGGCTGGCAGGAGGGCACTGCCGGCGGGACACACTCTGGAAGCGCCTCTTCTTGCTGGAGCCACCAGGGCCTGACCGGCTGCGGCTGGGAGGGCGCCTGGCCCTAGCAGAGTTGGAGGAGCTCCTAGGAGCCGTCCATGCCAAGTCCATTGGGGACATCGACCCCCAGCTGGTAAGGGGCCGGGGGCTCCTGATGGGGCTGGGATGGCGGCTGGGCACTTCAGGGCAGCGATCAGAGCCTGCAGACCCTCCCGCAGGACTGCTTCCTGTCCATGACAGTCTCCTGGTACCAGAGCCTGATCAAGGTTCTCCTCAGCCGCTTCCCCCAGAGCTGCCGCCACTTCCAGAGCCCAGACTTGGGAACTCAGTACCTGGTAAGTCCCCTTGACACCTAACCCCGCCTTTAAAATGGGCAGCCTGTTGGAAATCTTCAGCAGAGAGGTGCCAGGTGCCCCCCTTGAGGAGCCCCAGCCTGGCCAAACAAGCTCTGACCTGGTGGGGGCCGGGGGTGGGGTGCCTGAGCCAACAGTGATCCACGGGCACCCTCCAGCATGGAGCCACAGATACGGTTTGCCAAGCCGTGGGTGGTAGGCAGGACTTGGAGCCCAGCCCCCAAAGGTTCTCCCAGAATAGAGACTTACTAGACTGAGAGTCAAGGTGTGGAACCAGAGGTGCTCTCGGCCCAACTGCAGCCCACCTTATAGGTGGCCGTTCCGGAAGGGCCCGTCCGTGAGCACTAAAGCTGTATTTCCTCGTGTGTTTGCCCAAACCAGCAGCATTGGCACACTCCAGACCTGCCTGAGTAAAGTCTGCCTTTCAGCAAGCCCCTCCGACGACCTGTGTGCATGCTGACAGTTTGCACGCAGGGGCTTCAGGGGGAGTGGCGAGAAAGCAGGTTTGGTGATAGGAGCCCAGGGTGCCAGAGTCTAAAGAGCTGGGCCAACGGGAAGCAGTGGTCTAGGAGAAGAGGTCTGTCAGGAGAGCAAGGAGCTGGACCGTGGTAAAGCAAGTGTTTTGTGGGAAGGCTCGCCTCGGCGTCACACAGAGGTAGCAGTGGTGCTGGGGGACGTGCAGATGGGCAGACCCTGTGGGTGGGTGCGTGGAGGGGCGAGGGTGATGAGCGAAGCGAGAGGTTGGTTGAGTCTGACGGCCGGCAGCCCTCCCTGTGGGATGCAGTCTAGAAGGTGGAACATGGGGATAGGCGCTCATAGCGAGCTGGGCAGCATCTGTCAGAACAGGTGGTAATTGAAGCCTGGGGAGTGGAAGACATCGCCCAGGGAGAGAGAGCAAAGCTGAGTGGTAGGGAACAGACAGACATCAAGGGACAGTCCTGGGAGAAGTCACAGCTGAAAGACCCAAGACAGTACCGAGGCCAAGGACGACAGGGTCAGGGTAGAGAACTCTGTCCAGTGATTGGATCCTGTCCCGCCTCCTCCTGATAAGGTGCAGCCAGCGTGTCCAGGGAGCTGTGAGGGATGAGGCCTGAGATGTGCACTTTGGAGACAGGGCCTGAGCGGCCTTGGAGTGCGGCAGGGCCCGTTGTGAAGACAGAAGCAGACAGGCCGCCACGCCAGGGTGCCCTAGAGGGCGGGTGACTCTCCGTGAGAGCATTCAGCTCCTTGTTCTGTCTTCGTTGTAGGTTGTACTGAATCAGAAGTTCACCGACTGCTTCGTGCTGGTGTTTCTGGATTCCCACGTGGGAAAGACGGTGAGGACAGGGGATGGGCTTTATAGCAGCCTAGTGTGAGGCTATTCCCCGTGTGCCGCACAACAGAGCCTGCCGAGTGCCCCTTCTTCCTCAGCCCCGCTCCCTGTCCCCACCCCAGCCCTCCTCTCACTACCACACTCCACCTGTGTACCTCTAGTCTCTGACAGTGGTTTTCCGAGAGCCCTTCCCGGTACAGCCCCAGGACAGTGACAGCCCCCCTGCCCAGCTGGTCTCCACCTACCACCACCTGGAGTCTGTCATCAACACAGCCTGTTTCACCCTGTGGACCCGCCTCCTCTGAGAATCCGGATCAGCGCGTGCCCCCTCCTCAAACCAGGGACCTGGCAGATAACCACAGGAGGAGGCAGGGCTAAGCAGCCCTGCTCGGGGCCCCAGGACCAGCCCAGGGAGCACCAAAGGCTTTGGGCTTATGTCCCCAGGGCAGGATTGGTGGCCCCAGCCCGGAGCAGAGGCTGTCCTCCCCAGCCCCGAACAAGCACTGAGCAGCCCAGGGCTCTGGAGGACCAGGCCACCTCCTCACGGGCTCACCTTTCTGGCCCCCGGGACCCTCCAGAAAGGGGTTCCTCCTGCCTACCCACTGGAATGCAAGGTTTCTCACCCGGAGTCCTGCCTCCACGTCTTGGGATTGCTGTCTCCCCCACCCCCAGCGCTCTGGTCTTTAGTTCCTGCTCGGACATGGCTGCTAAGACATCAGGCTCCAGCCTTAGAGCACTCGCGACCACGGGCAGATTTTCCCTCTCAGACCTTGGTTTCTCGTCCGTAAATGAGGAGGTAGACTCAAAAGTGCCCCCATCTGCACAGCAACACTGGCACAGAACAGCAGACTTGAGCATGATGGGTGTGTTCCTTCTCAAGAAGAGGGAAGCAGCCCAGAGAAACTGAAGGGTTAGACACTGTGTGTCCCCCCGTTCTTCCCCCACCCCACCCCCAGCCACCCCAAATATACACAGTATGAACAGGTTCCGTTCTACGGGGTGTCTTTAATTCAGAGGAGAGGCCACAGAATGCTCGCCGATCCACAGAGGCACACGGGTGGTGTACCTCACTGGCCAGCCTGTGGGTGGCCCCGCCTGTCCCAGTAGGAACGCAGCCATGCCAAACCCTCTGAGGTGTCTCCTGAGGGGAGAGGGAGGCAGGAGCATCTCAACCCAAGGGAACCCCGCCCCGTCCAGTCACTGTGCCCTCAGTGCTCCCGAGAGTCAGCCTGGGTGTCCTGCCGCCCCCTTGCCTTGCTCCTCACCTTGGGGCCGGTACTCGCAGCCCACAAAGCCTTGGTAGCCTCCATCCTCCAGCAGCTGGAAGAGGTAGGGGAAGTTCAGTTCTCCGGGGCTGTCGGGTTCCCCTCGACCTGGGACCTGTGCCACCTGCACGTGTCCTGGGGCGGATGGGGCGGATGTGAGCCCGGGCGGCTTGTGGGGGCGGACAGGGTGCCGCACAGCAGGGAAGAAGGGACCCTCACCAACGAGGGGCAGGAAGTCCCGGATGTTCGCCGTCAGGTTCCCATCCATGATCTGCCAGTGGAACATGTCCTTAGGGGGAAGGGGGGTTGGATGTACTAGTAAGACGATGCCCACCCCCACCCCCCGGGGCCCCACCATTCTCCCTCATTTGGAGAATGTGGCCCTCTGAGAAGCACCCGCTCCTTCCACTTACCATTTGTAACTGGAGGTTGGGTCTTCCCAACTTCTGTAAGATAGCTGCCGCTGGGGAGCAGAGGTGGGGAGGGGATGAGACTGGGAAGGCACAGGGATCAGAGAGGCAGCAGGGGAACAGGGCTGGGGGTACCTACCCTGCTGGGGGGTATCCAGGAAGTACCGGGGATCAGTGATGCGGGTGTTGATGGGCTCCAGCAGTCCTACGAGGTTCTCCTGGCCCCATGTTGGAGGCTTGTGAGTCAGGCTGCCCTTCCCCAGGCCTTCCCCCCAGTCTGCTGAAGGCCCTCCCCGGGACCAATGCCCAGACTGGTGCCCCATGCTTGCTCCACTGAGAACCGGACCCGGGCGCGCTTCTGCAGGATCTTTGTCTGTGTCTTCCCGGTCTCACCTGAGCCAAAACCCCAGCTGCGTGCCTCAGGTTCTCCAGGAAAACCGCCTCCATCTCCCCGCTGACAACTGCTCGGTCAGTCCCCTGTGGCACGCGGCCAGCCATCAGGTGAATCCTGTGGGGAACAAGGGGATGTGGACCCCAGCCTGAAGCAGAGATCCTCCCTGGTTCCCATGTGCACCCGTCCAGGGTGCTCCACCCGTGCCATGTAAGGCACTCCTTTCTAGGATGCCTTCTTAGGGAAAGAATGGGTTCTGGGTCCACCCCTCCCGCCTCAGAGGCCAGAGCCCATCACTTGTCCTATGAACCGCTTCCCTGCCCCTTCTCCTCAGGCTAGAAACATGCTTACGTCTCAGCTTTAAAAAGGTATTTTGACCCCTAGCCCTCTCAAGTACCCCATGTTGCTGTGACTTCCTCTCTGTGTTTCCTCGCTCCGTCCGTCTGTCCTCTCTGTTGTCTCCTCTAGTACTGACCCCTAATCTCCAGCTCCTCAGCTCAGGAGGCCTCTGGAAGACCTGAGCCTCCTCCCTCCCGCCATCACGACCTGACCTTTGTCCGCCTCATCCCGCTTGCCCCGACAGGCTGGCACTCCCGAGCTTGGCGAACATTCCCCTCTGGCCACTGCTTCCTCCGAAATGCTCTTCCTTTGACAATGTGTACACCCTGGAGTCAGTTCTGGGTGGTGTAGTGGTTACACATTGGGCTGCTAACCACCAGGAAGAAACTTCCTGCCCCCATAAAATGTCTGGGGTGGGGGCAGTCTCCCCTGCCCCAGAGGGTCCCTAGGAGTTGGAATCAGCTCCTCGGCAGTGAATTGGGCTTTTGCGTTTGGTTCCCTGGCCCCAGACAAGGGTCTAAGTGGAGCTTCTGCCCTCAGCAGGGACGAGCATGAGCAAGGAGCAAAGTGAGGAGGAGAGACAACAGAACACATGACAAGCCATTTAAAGGGTGACCAGGAGTGGAGCGGGGCACGGTCACTTTGGGTCAGAGGGCAGGTACCGGCCAGATGGGGTGGGGGTGGTGTAGGAAGGGTACCTGGGGCAGCCCAGAGCCTTCGCATAGAGCACAGCCTGTTCCAATCCCTCTCGGAAAGCTGCCTGTCTCCCAGGAACGGCCCCCAGCCCCATTTCCCCCTTTTCTGGGTCTCCTGTGGAAAGAACGAGCCTCAGCCCCAGGTCAGGCACCCGCCCTCGCCCAACCCGGCCTGGCCCACGGGCGCACCCAGGGGTGTGTTGATCAGAACCAGCCGCAGTCCTGCTTCCTGCGCCGCGCATGCAAGCGCCTCCGGGGGCTCCGAGTAGGGGAAGGCCACCTCGGCGGCCTCGAAGCCCGCGCTGCCCGCGGCCCTGAGACGCTCGGGGAGGCTGGGGAGCTCGGGGAACAGCCATGATAGATTGGCCGAGAAGCGCAACGGCGCCATGGTCAGACGAGCAGGCCTGAGTTCAGAGTCCTGGAGCGGGGCGGAGCCAACCCCGGGGGCGGAGCGGGGCCGAGTCCGG